CCCCCGCGTCTTTCAGCCTACAATTTCCAGTTCCCATGGGTCAGCAGATGCTCTTCTTCTTCTTCTTGGTTTTGTGCTACTCTGAATCTCATTGAGGAGAAAAGCAAAGAGATGGAGAGAGAGAGAGATTGGGGTGGGCGCACTAGGTGTTTAGGGTGGAAGCATTTTTTATGGAACTTAACTATTGCATTCAATCGGAGGTGGTTGGGTGTTGGACGGAGGTGGAGTTACCGTGGCAAGAGGCGGTGACTTGGGTTGGGCGGAAGATGCATGGGTTTAGGGATTTTGGTGGGTCTTCTTGTTATTTTCTTTTTCTTGGGGTTTCTTTGTTATTTTTTTTGTTATATTAGATTCCTTTCCTTTTTAATAATTTAAAGTGGAGGGCAAACTTGTCTTTTTATGCGATTTTTTTAACGATCAAATTAGATACAAATATGCTAATTGATCGAAAGGTTGTGGATGAATGGTGCCAATAAAATTGGTTGGGGGCATGTCTCAGCCCTTTTCGAGAGGTTGGGGACAAATATGCAATTTTTCTGGATTTTTATTCTACTGGTTGAATTAGCAGAAATTATACTATGATAAACTTTTGATTTTGTGACCATTGACAAAGCTTGATCTTTTTTATTTTTTAGTTGTGATTATATTGGAATGTGTGCATCCTTGTGAATTGATCTATTCACATTGCAGAAGAAGGAAAAAAAAAAAAAAAAAGAATCTATGCAGAATTTGAAATGTGATAGCCAAATTAATACGCTGTTTGTACCAGTCTAGAACACACTCAACACAGTTGTAAGTACTTGTTTAACAGAGGTTATGTTTTACTAAAACATTGGATGTAAATTCACTGACTCATCATTTATTTGACCGTTGCATTTGAATGACGTGTCTTTTCTCGAAAGATTTGGGGGGTGTGATATTGCAGTTTATTTTCCTGAACTAGATATTCATCTCTATCTTCACATGACAAAGTGTGACGCCCTTAAGCAAGGATCAATGGCATACTTTACGAGACTTCATAGCTAATGCTAATTGCTCATCAGGGCTTTCAATTTTGTCACATGAGACTAAGGTCAATAATAAAGGGTACGAGCTAATAGCATTTGTGCGTGTGTTGGTATTTTTTTTTTTTTTTTTTTTTAACTTTTTTTTTTTTTTTTTTTTTTAATAATACAAAATCAGAACAACAAAAGGCCATAATATTCGTCACTGCAACTTCTCTATGTTAATGGGATTTTTAATCCTAGCTAATCGGAAATCCTATCCTATTTATGTACTAGGTCAATTCAAAGAATATTGAAATACCCCCCAACAAGAACCTTGAGCGGAGAGGAGAAGCAGGATCTCTGGAAATTTCGTTTTTCACTGATGTCTGAAAAGAGGGCTTTGACAAAATTTCTGCGTTGTGTTGAATGGAGTGATGTTCAGGTAAAGTTCCAGCATGTTCCATTTATGTGATGCTTTTAATTTTCCAGTAATATGCACTCATTGTACTAGTTGTCTTGCATCATTTTTCTTTATCCTCCATCTCTCACCGATTGGTAAAAAAAATAAAATTATAATAATTTGTGTTATTGTCAGGAAGCAAAGCAGGCATTAGAACTGATGGGCAAGTGGGAGACAATTGATGTTTCTGATGCACTGGAGCTTCTATCTTCAGTTTTTGAGAGTGAAGAGGTTAGTATTAAAGACACATATTGGCAACTGTGTGCTTCTCTCATTTGACAAATTAAATGTTCTATTTAGATTTTGTTTTCAGCAAATAGCTGATGAATTAGATATCGTAACACGTTGCAAGATATCTGCTTTAAAGCAGGTTAAAGTAGATTCAGATGTTTTCTTGTTAATATTAATACAGGTCAATTTTTTTCTTTGGTTGGCTGAACATACTAAACCAAGAAGTATTGTTAAATTAGTAAGCCGAGTGTTTCAAAATATCACCTCCATTACAGGTCCGTGCATATGCTGTTACTGTTCTTGAAAGAGCTGATGATGAAGAGCTCCAGTGTTACCTACTTCAGCTGGTTCAAGCTCTTCGGTTTGAACGTTCCGATAAATCCCGCCTTAGTCATTTCCTTGTGCAGCGCTGTATGCTTCCTGTAATAAAGACCAAATTCTTTAACCAAGTTTGGAGTTTTTTGAGCTCATAAGTATCGTCTGAATCATTTATGATATTTGCAGCATTACGCAATATTGAGTTGGCTAGCTTTCTTCGATGGTATGTTACAGTGGAACTTCATGATCCTGCATATGCAAGACGATTTTATTGTACCTATGAGATTCTGCAAGAAAGTATGCTGAAGGTTTAACACAGTACCTTTGTTTGGTGGAGATTAAAATTAGATTTTTAGTAAATTTTAATAAAAATTGATGATATGCGTGGTTGAAAAATTATGGGATCAATAAAATGTGTAGTTAAAATTCATTGTCGACTTTAGCTTAAATTAAAATCAGAATTTTAATTTCTACCAATTATAAAATAATAAATTTAATAAGAAGTAAAAATATACTCGACAGTCTCTTGGCTTGTTCTTGAATCTTGAGTGCATTAGCATCCTGGACATTTTGGTCAACCGCTTTAACTCAGATATCAAGAATATAATTCCATAGTAGGCAAAAGTATATCCAAAATGCAAAAGCCACGCAGTAAATTTGATGAAAAGAGTTGACGTGAAGTATGTTTCAAAATAACTTCTCCCTTTCTTTGGGTTGAAGAAAGAAGAGGAGTTTCATCCGAATGAGCGTTTTCTTCGTCTAGATCCTTGATTCTGATCAAATAGGAATACAAATAGATCTATAACCAATGCAATTTAAGCTTCCGTTTGATTCTCATTATTTGGTATTATAATATTTGAAATAATATTTTTTTGAAGAATGTGTGGTTAAAAAAGAAAAAAACGTTTTCGATTTATGTATAATATTATTTTATAAAAGATTTTATGATTGAAAATAAGAGAAAGAAAAACTATAATGTAAAATAATGGAGGCCAAATGGGGGGTAAATATTTCAACGTGATTGATTGATTGATATGAATTGAAATTATTAAAGACTTTCAGATATAAGTTATGCTATTTGTACAAATTATGTTGACAAACTTGATTTATAAAGCAACATTTAGGTCAATTATTTTAAAAGCAGTTTTTCTAATCAATGGAAATCAATGATTTAGATCTTGTCAACACTCTTGTTTACAATTAGATTAATTCTTCAAATATATATATATATATATTTTCTTTTTCATTCAAAGCTTCTTTCTTACATAGAATAGAACACTGAACAGAACAAAAGACTGAAAGAGTGAGAGAAAAAACAATATTAAAGAAGAGAGGATAAAGGTCTATTGCATTGAAAGAGAGGAAAAATCAATAGATTAGCCAAAAAATCAGTATTCATAAGATATGAACTCAGAACTCGGAAGAGACAGCTGCCCAAGAAATAACAAAGAAAGACGATGATGTTGAAGTTTTTAAAAGACCAGTTGAAATAGATGAGTGCAAGTTTCTCAAATAGAAAGCAAACATTCAGCAGTAGTACTAGATAAAGAATATGTTAGGAGCCCAAAACGAAAGAAAGTTCTATTAGAAAGCAAACATTCACCGTAAGTTTTATTTTTCAACGGACGATTAAGGAGCCTCAAAACTCCCCATGCACACTCATCACTGCTTCAGTTCTTTGTTACATGCGTCTATTGGGCAACTATAATCATTATGGCACAAGAAAGCGAACACATCACCTAAGTTTGGTACCAATTAAAATCTAGATTTTAATCTAAATCAAAATCAACATTTCATTTTAACCGCATTTCATGGGACCCACAATTTTTTAACCATACATTTTATTAACTTTTATCAAAATCTATTAAAAATCTAATTTTAATCACGCAAGCTAGTGACACTATCATGTCGGTGCTATTGCATATGTTCATATCTTACAAGATGAAAATTTAAATGTTTTCTTCTGATTGGGAGTAGAAGAGCCTCATCACCAAGGGGTCGTGCTGCTTGTACAGAACCAAAACTTATAGAAAAGTCACGGATCACTCACACTGGTGGGGCTTGGGTGATTTTCTGCCAATTTTTTTAATAACAGCAGGGGCCTGCGCATGTGACTGTCTGGCAAACTTTTGTGAAATGAATAATTATATACAAAGGACATTTTCCCATCAGCAAAATGCAAGCCTCGAACAGATGTTGCCTCGACTTCAGTTCCTTCTGCCTTTGCTTCAATGGATCTCCTTGCTATATGAAAGGATGCCTCACCACACTGGTCACCGGACATCGAACTCGTTTTTCGTCATTAAAAAGAAATATTCATGCCCGCATTACATCATAGTTCCTCTGTTTATGATATTTGTCCATGTGTTGTTTAAAAAAATATTAGAGCCGACTATATTTCCATCTCTACCATGCTATTGCTGGTTTTATTTAAAGCCCCAACGAGTCCTCTAGGTCGTAGACCGTAATCATCTAATGCTAGAGGTCTTGGTTGCTCTTTGATTTTCGCTTACCCGATAATGGCTAGTATGACCAATTGACAATAATGCCCTCTGAACTTCAACTAATGGTTCTCGTATCTTCAAATCTAGAGGTTAGCTCCTCGTAGCTTCGATGCATCTGCAGAACTTCGTCGCCTTGATTCGTGTCTCCTCATTTTGTAAAGTGTACATAAAAAATGTAAGACAAGTGTCACGAAAACAAAAAAAACTCAATCAAAATATTGATGGTTGGACTTAATCACAATTTCCGGTATAACATGAGAATGTCAACTCATGAAAATGACCAAAAATTCTCTAAAAATCATCTACAAAATAAGGACATTAACAGAATAAGAAAATGGTTGAACTTGATTGAAAATCAAATGGTTAAAAGCTGAAAAAGGAAGAAAAATCATACTGATACAATCTACCTCAGATCAAGGCAAAAATAGGATCGTCGGTTCATCACTATTAAAATTTTTAACATTCTCCAGTTGAATGTCTTGTTTTTGTTTTTTATTTGAGGCAAAAATCACGTCCTTTTTTTTTTTTTTTTTTCAAGCAGGAAGCTCACCTAAAGCACACTCAAAGACCTCCAAAAATCGTCAAAATTATGTCAAAATTCCGACAGAAAATCTCTACTGCTGGCCTTAAAGAATAATTTATTTTTTGAGGTCAATAAAAGCTAGTTGTAATCATCTATAGAAACAATTTGAAGGCAATTGGGATTTGATATATTAAGACTAAAAATTCAACAGAAGTAACTTTTTGTAACATTAACATTTGAGAATTGAAAAAAAAAAAAAAAGAAAAAAAAAAAAAAAAAATTTTACCACCCAACATGGTGTGCTTGGCAAGCAATCAATTCATTAAAAAGAAAAATCTTCAACACCGACTGTTCATCCCTTAATGTCACATACAAGCATCTTGGCAGAAGTCAATATTTTTAGTGACCAAATAAAATCTGGAAAATGACAGAATTTAATACAAAAAATTGTCTGTAATTAAACAAGCCAATTTTGGTGCCATATGAGTTTATTACATTAAATATTCTAATTTTAGGCCCTTAAGTATTGTGCAAGATAAAGTGACGTTTGATGGTAATAATCAGAAAAGGTAATTATAGATAATCAATTATTGAGAGCATATACGTATGGTGCATTATTATAACAATGATGTTATTAACTGCATTCTTTATTATTTTCCTGATATTCTTTCGGTTCTCAGAATTAAAATATTATATTCATGGCAGTGCAATTCCTCCTCATAATATCAAGAGAAAAAGGTAATTTTACATTATCAATTTTATTGCAGTTTGCTCTTCAATTTCTTTCAAGTTTATTAGTGTCGTCGGTGTAATTTTAGTGCACTCATGTCTAATAGTTTTGTCACAGAAAAACAAAAATTAGCAATATAAAATTAAGAATCAAAACACAAGATTTATGTGAAAACTCAAGATGGAAAAAAAACAACAGGTAAAGAAGGAGAAATTCACTATAATAAAGATAATTACAAGATGTACGGTTACTCCGAATGATTTGATGTAAAGAAACCCTAATATACATCATATGTTGACGCATTTTTGCTATATGACTACTATCTCGCTATTATGCTATAATCATGTCCGTTTATTGTGTCAATGAATCAATATGTTGACACATTTTGCCATCACCCATTTAGACATCATGGCTAATAGGTTGTCTCCTTCGAAACATGTTCTAATTGCCGTAGTAAAAACGAGAATTAAGGTTAACAAGAAATCAACAAGCCAATTCACTCTTTTAACAGTACCGAGTTTGAACCAAAGAGAAAATGGAGAAAACTATAATATCCTCGATTTTATTCAGAAAAACAATAATTAAAGAAAAACTTCATACCACAAGCCATAGAATTCTTCTAAGTTAATACAAATGACCACTGCACCCTTATTTAACAAATTCAGCAATTGAAGTTACTATATATTCCTTGTAGAATGATGGGCTTGTCCAAATAATCTAAAATTTTCCGGTTTTAAAACTATGCTTGAAACCTCCATTTTGGCTTATATTCATAAATTATTTTGTCCATGTATTTTGAGACATCCATAAGTACTATCCACTAATCTACTATTAATTTCTATATATTTATAATTTAAACGGTTAATGAACACTTTCCAAATATGTAGCAAGGACACGTTAACTAGGGTGACTTGTCCGTGTCCGACACCCTTCGAATACTCTTCCATGATTATTTTTCTTATTTTTATTAGAAATATTATATATTTTTAGTTTAAAGTTAGTAAATAATAAACAAGTACTTATATTTAAAAGATTTCAAGTACAATATAAATTAAGAATTTAATTAATGCGTCGATGACGTATCGTGTCAGTACTTTTTGGAAAAATCGGGTGACAAGTATTCGACATGTATCGTGTCGGACACACATATCTATGTCGGTGCACCATAGCTTTCCAAACATTGACTTACCTGTTTAACATCTTTAGCAGGTTGGTGTTTGTTGAACAACCCCCGGAAAAACAAAGGGGTTGTTCAAATGGATTTCCCATCTTTAGCAACCCAATCGTAGTAATTTATACAGCACGAACTAATAGAATGGCTTAAACATTATGAATACACAAAAAATCAGCCTTGTTTTGAAGATTCTCTGCATGAACAAATTTCCTAATCAACACAATAGGTAAATAATCTCGAATCACTTCAGCTCATATTTTTCTTTAATGTCACAGTTTCTTCCCTTCAACTATGAGATTTTGCTTTTTGTTGGAAAACACAGGTAATCGGTCGCCCATGTGGGATGACCCAAAGGTTGGAGGAAGTGGTTTGAATTTGGAATA